AGCATGTAACTTGCCTTGTAGCAAAATGAGAGTAAACAGATAAAGCAGTTAGTACCATTCCTCAGGGTTCACCAATAAATCCTTATCCTTAAACTCAAAACATATAATCTTTAAAGTTGTAAGGGGACAGATGTGCTTGCTTTTAGAATCTAGTTTTCTCTTAGGCTATGAGGGTCCAGCTACACCACAAAGATAGAGTTCACAGATGTTCTCTTAAATAAAATCAGGGTTTGCCAAGACAGGCTTCTCTTTCTTTCTGCCAACAAGTATTAGACCAAATCATATAACACAATAGCCTGTCTATATACAAACAAAGGCACTCAAAATAAAAATATATCCAAGTGATAAAGCTCTCGTAAAATAACATTTAAAAGTGCTCTTAGAAGAAAGGTTATTTTAAAGCTTTAAAGATAAATATTAGAGATAGAATAAAAAAAATATAAAGGAATGAGTCTTGCATTAGCAGATGGATTAATTGTACTCTATAATTAAGACATTTTATTAAAAATAAAGCAGGTGAAAGATTTTTTAACTATGAACACACCTATTTTTATGAGATTAGCATTCAGTGTTAAGCCTATTCTTCAGGTATGTTGTATCTGGAGTTGCATAACAGAAGAGTCTGTTTTACAGCCTTTAACACTTTCAATTAAGTTGTTAGCAAAGTTTCCTTTCAAAACATCCTAAAACCATCTTGTGCATACTTGCAACTTTAAATATGTCTATAGCTGGTTGCAAAGATAAGTTTGATTCTCCCTAGTACCTTCTTGTAATAGGCATTTGATTAAGAAACAACTTATGGCAGTTTCCAAGGGCATGACTAAACATGATGCGTAAGAGTTTAACACATCACTCACTCCTCAGTTTTAAATTTGGGTCATCCAAAGCTAATTGAAATCCGTGGGCTGAGAACAAGTGACCAGTGCTATTTCCATGGTCATGGATGGCACTAGTACTTTTCATAAGAAAGGGGACAGCCATTCTTCCAAAACAGTAAGGTAAAGAGGTGATATTAGTGTCTTATAGACTGTCTGCATATGAAATTGTTATGGTTTTCAGCTTTCCCTATAAAAGCTGAATATTCATCTAAATTGCTGATGAAAATATTTATAAGTGATACAAGAACCATGATATTGGATATTGATACTCGTATAATTCACTTGCAGAATCTCTAAGGTATTTTAAAATATGCTAATTGTGAACTATATTTAAAACAAATTCAAGAATAATTTAGACAGTTTAACAAAAATATTGACATTTTCTGAATACAACAGTCAAAAATGAAAGCAAACAGAACACTCAACCTTCAATCTTATAGCAAAAATTTGACAGCAGCTAACCATTAGAGATCTTGAACGTAAGATTGGAGAGGAATTTTAAACTGGTTTTAAAAAGTCAATATTTTTTTTTCTAGAAACTGTATTATAATAAGAACATTTATGTTTAAAGGAAATGAACTAGCTTAATTTTGTGGGGCTCAGGTCTTGATATTCAGAGCTACCAAGGAAATAACTCCCATGAAATGGTCAGTTACTCCAGTGAGAACACTGGATGGCAGAGATATGAATCCCAGCACCCACCATGTGAGCCCAGCTATCAGAGCCTGCAGAGTTGTTAAGTCACTGATTTGCTTGGCTAAAAAGAAAAGGAAGTTAGCTCTGTTTAAGATTTATCCACAATTAAAAATTAGTTCAGCTGCTCAGATAAGTTAGGTGTTAGTTAAGAACTCATCTGGTGCTTCAACTAGAAAGCACAACTTTTGCTCTTTCTCTGACTTTGACTCACTTTTTTTTTTCCTTCCAGCTTCAGTATTTGCTTCCAAGTTCACAGCTGCATTTAGAACTGCATGTATCTTTTTACATGGGCCCTGATTTCACATTGTTCATCTCCTCAGCCTGTATTGATTAGATGAATATGTGGTTTGGCTTTTCATGGGCATGTTTTAAAAGTTTCTTCTGGACAAAAGAAGTAATCTCAAACTCCATTTCCACTAATTCCTCTCTTGACTCAATATCTCTTTTGTCTTCAACAAACTGTATTCCCTTGTGCCTGCTCTTGGCCTCAGCTTTTACCCTGCATGCTCAAATTCCATAAATCTGCTGCCTATTCAGTCAGCAGAACTATGTCTGCAGCAGTACAGACGTGCCACAGCCTCGTCTCTTGACACTCCCAGTTGTCCTCAGTCACAATGTCCCCTTCACAATAACTACTGAGATTAACTTTCCATTATTTACTTGAACCTTACCTATTAAGAACTTTTGCATTAACTTTTACTGCTTAATACCCTCAAAGTGAGATTCCATTCTCCCAGTCAAACAAATCCAAAAGCTACACGTTCCCTTCAAGGTCCATTAACAAAACACAGGCTTTCTTGTGCTTGAAGACTGTCTGTGGACTTGGTCCAGTCCAAAGATGGGACTTAAAAATCCTTTCTCAGTTACTGCTTTTTGATTATTTCCCACTGGTTTCTACATATCCTTTTGTTTAACCAGATCAGACACTAGCAGAAAGGATTTCCTGAATTGTTTAGCCTAACCTTCATCTGAAAAAATATTCTTGTATTCATGCCTCAGTGAACTTACGTTTCTTATAACATTGATGATGCAGCACATATTTTTATACTGTATATAAGCTAGACAGTGTTATAAAAACATGTGGTAGGAAAAATCTTCCTGTCTTCCACTCCCTTGAAATTATTGAGATTTTTTTCAAATCTTTGCTCTCTTTACCAATATCCTGGACAATACAAGCAAAGAGTTTCAAAATATACACTTTCAAGACACAGATCTTGCTCTTATATAGAGAGTCATTAGGTCCAAACTCACTACTGAAATCTTTCATACTGGTAATGCATATATATGCCAAGTGTATTATTCCAACTGATAGTAAATTACGTGACTTATTTTTCCTTTTATTTTTTTTTCAAACAATTCCAATACATTTTATAGGGTTCTAAAAGTAGGATGGAAATTTGAAGAGTCAATTAGAATTTCTGTGTATTTCTTTATGACAAATCTCAAAGCCTTATGAATATACACTAGAATTAATTTGTTCAAACAAACTCAAAAATAAAAATGCCATTGTATAAGATGGTAACAAATATCAGTTTGGGGCATTATAATTTTGCAATGACATTTACAATTATTAACTAGGAAATTTTTTTCTCTCTAAACATCAACCTAAACATCAAAAATAATATATTTTAAAATTCAGAGCTATTCATAAAATAAATTATAATTATGCCAAAAATCGTATTTCCCCAAACATTTCTAGATTCACTCCACATCACTGGAATGCATTTAGGGAAGCAATGGATTTAAAGAGCATTGCATACAAATCCTTGGTTCTGCAACTATCATCATGTTGAGTAAATAAATCACAGAATCATCAAGGTTGGAAGAGACCTTCAAGACCATCAAGTTCAACTGTCAAGCACCACCATAACCATCCCTAAACCATATTCCCAAGGGTCACATCCAGACACATCTTGAACACTTCCAGAGACAGTGACTCCAGCACCTCCCTGGGCAACTTATCCCAATGCCAAACCATTCACTATGTGAAACTTTTTTTTCCCTAATATATAAATATCTGGCAACCAAATTCATACTCTGCTGTCAGTAAATAGCAGGAGCTGTAAAGCCAAATCAGTTAATAGAAGAAACCCCTTAATGTGCTTAACTGATAATGTTCTGAGAAAGCTGCCAAGGACACTACAATTCTGTACTGTTGGCCACTGTGATGTTACTTTCTGCTTCAACTTTAGTATGTGTTTAAGGGAACCAATACTTTATTTACACAATAGATAATACATAAACTGTAATAAGTTATGACAAGCATTGTATTTCAAGACAATTATAATTTGCCTCTAGTAGCTTTATAAGCCATGAGACTAAATACCTATTGAGTTTTACCACCCAAGAAGTACTGTTTTGGAGTAAAATGCCTGGATTATATTACTGATATAAAATGGAAAATAAACTTCAAAATACGAAAAACAGGCAATATACTGATTTGTGAATGATCTCATTGCACACCAGCTCCAGAACGTTAATTTTATCAAGAAGCCTGAAGCTATTTATAATCGCTATCAGTTCATTTTCAATTTCTTAACTTCTTAGGCAAAGAAAAATACAGTTCAGATGAAAAGAACTAGAAAAGAGCCTCATAAACAGGATTACAAAGAAAAAGTATTGCACAATTATGAGATTCTGCCAGCGCCCACTGTTAACAGTTCATGCACTAACAGGATCTGATTTGATAACTTAGAATCTGAAAATAACATTCTAAAATGTTCAGATTTACAGAATAGTGCTCATTCATGACCAAAGAGTCAAAATTCAAGAAGCTTAATATATCATGCATTCATTAAAAAAACAGTCCATGAATTCTTGTATCTAAGTAAGGTAATACAAACCGCTATGTAATTTGCAATTGCAGTTAAGGTTTGCTACTTGTGAAATCTTGTAAAGTTTATTTTGGAATCAGTTCCTTGTCTTGCAAGAACTGCAAAAACATAAAAAGCATCACAAACCACCAGGATAGATTATTTAACTACTGCCCAGATTGCCAGTCCCACCCTATGTAGAAACACACATCCAAGATTCAACATGAACAGATCATCGAGACTTGGTTTCATTCATTTTATTGGATGAAACCAAGTACCAACAGAGGCTGTTGGCAGTAACAAACTCAATCAGCCTAACAGTAGGTAGACGTACTTTCTAACATCACACAGAATGAAGGTTGTTGTCATGGATTCTAGCAAGTGCATTGCAAGGTTCTGGTGGCATCTCAGGAACATCTCAGGAACAACATTTATACCTTTCTTGGAAAGGTATAAATAACTCTGATATGAATTGCTCATTTGTCACAAACATGTCCACAGAGTACTTAAGCTAGGATTCTAAATCTCTTATTTAAGACAAAGCATTATTGATAAGTATCTATATCTCAAAAATATTTGAAATTAGTATTGATAAAACATGTAAAATGCATACCTTTGTTTGTACTGTAAAAAATTTCAACTGTGTCTTCAAATGCCAGCCATCATAAACAGAAATCAGCATGAACAATGTTGTGTTCATCCAAAGTACATTTTGTTCACCCCTTCTGCTAGCTGTCCACTGTCCTCTTTGGCAAATTTTGCTTTGCAACTGTGGCTTTAGACATCACATGAAAAGTAAAGAATGAAAAACAGAAGGTAGAACACTACCGTGCCACTTAAATGTGCAAACTATATAATCCTGCTACGTAAATAAAAGTAGGAATGAGATTCCAAAGGCCAAAATAAAAAAGTGAGAAATCTGGCTTGTATATCAGTCAGAAGTACTCTTTCATACTTTATATAATGTGAAAGAAGTTGAAAGTAATGGTGAACTACAGCCTTCTGGGGTACATTTATTAACAGCAATTGAATGACAGCAGAATTTACCAGTAAGAATATATCATGTGTATGTGCTTATTCATAAAACAAGTTAATAGATGAATTAATTTATAGTAAGAATAAAGTCAGTTTTGTAATACAAGATCACTATTATTTCATAAGGATTCTTCTGTTATTTTTTTTTCCAGGTCCAAGATTAGAATAATTTGTGATAATATTACAGAGAGAAGGAAAACAACTGGACAGCTAAAGACAGCTAAAGGATTAGAACTGAGTTGATACAACCCACAGATAATCCCTAACAAACCCTATGTAATAATTTGATATAACACATACGGAAAAATATTTTAAAATACATGTTTTTAAAATATCTTTCTTTATAATATAAGGAGCTCTTAGTGGCTATAGGGATGAAAGACAGATGTAGCTACAAAAGCTTTCTTTAAAATCAGACAACCAGATTGACACAATCTACACAAAAGTCAGAATTACAAAACCAGGCAAGGGGAGAACAGCTCTTAACAATTATCGAAATCCACTCCCACATCAGAAGACAGGATCCAATAATATATCAGATTTAGACACAGATTCACAGAAAAGCTCTACTGCTTTCAATAGATCTAAGACAGAAAATGGGTGCTTAAGTTTCAAAATCCAAGGACACCTGCAAGTCAATTAGTTCACATGTGTCTAACACAAAAGTCCTGATACACTCTGCATTTAGAAGAAACAAACTGCTATAAACCAGAATCTTAAATCTAAAATCTGCTAAAACTCTCTATACTTTCTATAAGTTGTCTGACTTACTCTACTCCAACATTACCTGAAAAAAAGTGGATAACTAAATCACGAAGCTTGTTTCCCCTAGGTCCCCTTTGAAGATATAAATTACCCTCTCCTTCCCTATAAAGTGATTCAGATCAGGAGCCTAACACCTACAACTTGTTCAGATATAGTAGCTGGATGTACTAATCAAGTTATTGTGACATGAAAAGGAATGATTTTCTTCTTTTCAGATTCCAGAGAGAACTTTGCAAATGTTGCAAAATCTCATTTAGCAGAGAAAAATTCTTGTGTTGGAGAGGAGCATCTAAAAAAGAAATCTATTCTAAAAGAAAACATAATCTGAGATAGAATAGATAGATAGATGATAGATAGATAGATAGATTGATAGATAGATAGACAGATAGATAGATAGATAGATAGATAGATAGATAGATAGATAGATAGATAGATAGATAGATAGATAGATAGATAGACAGGTGCAGCAAAACACTAAATCGAGTCCCACAGATTCTTATTTTTCACAAACACCATAAACACTGCACTTAATCTGTCTGTTGTAATAAAAGATAACTTATGAAATTATTATTTGAATAGTCACTGAAAATAAAAGCTATATATTGCAAAAAGTGTTGTTCCATTAGAAAAATATATGCAATTCTGTGCCTGCATTAGTTGTCACTCATGCACAGAAAATTACAATACAACTTGATAGATTTAAATTGCTATAAATTATACCCAAAGAGAGGTTGGGGTTTTTTAAATTGTACTTCTGTGAGCAGCTGCAATAGCTCCTCACTAAAACAGGTTTGTAGTTTCTGCCTGCCTTTCTCTTGCAGGTTTATTTTCAATTTCCCATTTACTGAGCATCTGAGTAAAAGTGCTACAGGTTAAGTAAGAGATATTTTCTTACAAGCCTGTTATTAATTATTTGTCTTCAATTTTATTTATTTGTTCGGAAGCCTTGTATATTATGCAAACATAAGGAAATTCAAATGCCAGGCTACTTGGTTCCAAAGATAGTTTAGTGTAGCAAAGGAAGTTCTGCAATAGAATGCATTAAATTCTAATATACAGTGGTTTGGTTTATAAAAAAATGAGAATTTTTAGAAGAAATGTTAGATTTTTTAGTTATATTCTGCTGTGATATTTTTACAACTTCCATAGACTATTTTGTAACTGAAAACATAGAACTAAGTATTTATATCTAGTAAAAATTCAGCAGAATTTCAAATAGCCCAATAATAGGATGGAGATAAAACAAATTAAGAATCTTGAAACTGGAAAAAGTTTCCTTTCCACCCTTCCTTGTGGTCAGTGACAGAGGTGGCTCTGCACATTAGAAGTCTCCATTTGCAGTATTTACTACACCAATCCCCCAACATAAAGTAAACCAATTAAACATGAACATTAGGAGTCCTAACAACTAATTGAGGACAACAGAGATGAGAAGTTCTATAAGTTTCAGCAATAGTCAACATAGTATTAAACTCTTTTGCATTTGTTAAATGCCCAGATTAAATACATGGAAGACAGAACATATCAGAAAAAGGAAATGTGCCTGTCACATATTGTTGCTTAATTCATTGGAAGGTATACAGCGAAGCAACAGATGAATGACACATATTGTATGTAGTTCACAGATACTGCCAGTTCACTTAAAAGTTCATTTTAACAAATGAACAAAAGAGCTCCAAAAATGTCAACTACATTATGTTTAACTGCATGAGTTTACTTAGTCTATTCCCAAGCCATACCTATCGCACCCACTGACTTAGGCAAGGACAATTGGTAGTGTAGAAATATTTTCTAGTTTATTCTACTCAACCCCTGCTATCAATCTGTATTCAACAGAGCACTTCCAAGTTGCCTGAAGTCAAATTTCAAATTGCAGGCATACACGCTGGAGGAAGGAAAGCCCACTCTTCCTGTTCCTTACCTTGGTTCAAAGTTTGAATCATTTCTCAGTGAAGTATTTTTCACATCCCTTGTCAAGTCCGGTTCCATCTGCACCTTAGCCTTCCTGATCCCATCCCTACACATCAAATCCTATCCCTGTATTCTTCCCAGGTCATCTGTCCCTGCTTCCACTGGCTATGCATTTCCTTCTTACTTCTCAGTCTGAGGAGCAGATCCTTGCTCAGATCTTGAGAGGTCCCTTCCAACCTGAACAATTCTGTGATTCTGTGACTTGGAATTATGGGAAAATATTTTCTGACAGTGATATAGTAGTCATCAACCTGCAGGTATGACTGTCAACATTTACCAGAATATGAAGCAAAACTGGGGGCAAAAGGCCAGTACAAAATATTATACTAAGTAGCACCGTTCTCAGCTGTATAACACTATACAGCTACTATAATCTCAGCACACTACTGAAATCATCACACACATATCCTCACTGTTCTCTTAACAGACTTCTTGCAATTACCTATCGTTTAATTTTTAGAATTCAATTTTACAGAGAGTAAAAATTAAAATTGATATGACTCTTACATGTCATATCAAACATAGTCCTGCTTTTTTAAGTTGGAGTGTGTGTTCCAAAAACGTGGTATTTGCTGTGCAAATAAGAGCATGGGTGGAGATACTGTATGTTGCTGAGCAGGCTTCAGTAATTTCATTCTGTATTACCACAAAAAGATGTTAAAGTTCTAGCTTTCCTGAAATAGTGAGATAGTGGGCTTATCCAGGACATAGTAATATTTTGTAAAGTATATGTGCATGGCAGCAGTAAGTTAACATTCTAAAAATAAATCTCGGTGTGGCTAGCTGTAAAATCAGTATTACATCACTGTAACACAGCTTTCAATTCATCATATACTGCTGCAAGAATGGAATCAAATCCAAAGCCTCAAGTTTAGTGCCACAACTTGATGTCTTAAAATTCTGAGTAGTGCTTTCAAAATCACAGCACACATGTGTTCAGCTTTGATGGTAAAGTTAATGTAGATAGAGACACACTTCTGCTACAGCCTCACTCATGAAGTCCAGTCCCCACCATCATGAGGTTTCAGCAAAACTTCAACAGAAACAAAGTTTAAACAACATTTATGGAGAAGTTGTTTAACCTGATAGAACACATTATCTGATTGATAGTGGCTTATTATTGATACTGGCTGGTGAAGGGTCTGGAGTACATGTCCTATGAGGAGTGGCTCAGGGAGCTGGGTTTGTTCAGCCTGGAGAAAAGGAGGTTCAGGGGAGACCTTATCACTCTCTACAACCACCTGAAAGGAGGATGTACCGAGGTGGGGGTCAGTCTCTTCTCCCAGGCAACAAGTGATAGGACAAGAGGACATATTCTCAAGTTACACCAGGGGAGGTTCAGGTTGGACATCAGGAAGAATTTCTTCACAGTAAGGGTTGTCAGGCATTGGAACAGGCTGCCCAGGGAGGTGGTGGAGTCACCATCCCTGGAGATCTTCAAGCAATGACTGGACATGGCACTTAGTGCCATGATCTAGTTGACAAGGTGGTGTTTGGTCAAAGGTTGGATTTGATGATCTTGAAGGTCTTTCCCAACCTGAATTATTCTGTGATTATTAACAGACAAGCCTCAAATCAGCAAGTCACCAAGCATTTGTCTTGTATGCGTTGTGAGATTGGTGTTTAAACCTAAAAGAAAAGCACATTCTGAAGTCTGATCATTAAAATCAGCAGATTGTGCAAAGCTGTACAAAATTGCTATGTTAATACTAACTAGCTTGAAATGTCCCTGCATATTGTGATAAAATGCTTTTTTAGAAACTGCATTCCCATCACTTCCAGTTTTAAAACATTCTCTAGTTAATGACCAAAATACTACTTAGCAATAACAATGCTTATTGTTTTCACATTCTTTTCATCTGCAGTCTATCAAAATAAATTGCCATGGAAAAAAAACAGATGATGAAGTCTGTTCCTACCAAGAGAAGATCCTTATCTATGTAATTTTTTTTTAAATTATGAATTGAATTTCATGAAGCACTTCCCATCACAGTTTGCTTTTTA